TTGAATAAATTATAAGTAATAAATATTTATTTTAATAGATAAATGCATAAATATATAAAATTTTTAATAAATAAATTTTAAGCTAACATTCTCTGTTAAAGTAGAGTAGTAGAGAGTTAATTTAAAATTAATTAAAACATAAGAGATTTTGTTTTCCATCGTTTTTTTTTCTATCTTACTGGTTAAGTAATGGATACAAATTAATGAAGGAGTATGCGACACTATTCCACTAAGTAATACCTGAAAAAGTCGTTAACTCGGTCGCGCCTTGACACCAATTTCGCGAAACAACGAGGGATAGATAGGTACAGAAGTGAAATTGAGTCTTTTGGCCGCATGCCTAACTAGAACAGCAATGAGTACGTCCACGATGCCCCCCCCCCCGGTTATCAAAGGACAAGGAACACGAGAGGCCGAGTCGTCGGTGACATTGATATCGATTTTAGCAGAAAGATTATAGCGACAGCACGGATAGACACACGCTTTGGCGAATATCTTCTTTCGCTTATTACTCTTAGCAAGTAAGAGAGAACGAAAAGGGTCGCGGGTGGATGTTGTATACGCAGACAAACGGGACGAGAGGGCTGACATCTCGCCCTACGTTTACCATAAAGAGGGTGGGTGAGCGAGAACGAATCGAGGAGAATAGAGGATAGAATAACGGGCGTGTTGACCAAAAACGATGGGGCTGGCTCTCTAATTCGAATTTAGGTGTTGGGTGGGTTGGCAAGTGGGCGCAATGCGGTGTCACGCTGCGGGCGTTTGCTCTTTCTCCTTCAGTTCCTCTCTGACCCGCCACCCCTCCTCACCGACTTGTATGCCGCACTTCACCTCTCTGCACTTTAACCCCCTTACTCCATCAGCAAGTTCCTCGCCCGCTAAGCCCTCCGCTAAGTCCTACCCGACACTTCGAGAGAACCACCCCCGTTACCCTCTAAGCCAGATCGACCGACCTTAATCGACCTCCTGATCTCGACGATCGTATTATACCTACCCATCTATCCGTATTTTCCTTCCTCGTTCTTACGAGGAGGGCGCGACACTTTTGCAGTCATTTCAACGACTTCTATGTTTTTTTATTTCTTTTTCAAAACTTTTCCAGTCATGGCAATTGCCTGCTACCATAATTTATTGACGCAAATTTCTATCACGGATTTAATTATTCTTATGATATATTGCGATACTTAAAAAATTGCAGTTTAATCAAAATTAGACGAAACGGATTGCCTTCGGAATAAAATTAAATAACTTTACGCCATCTGAAAATTGACTGTGCTTTCTCTCTTTGGAAGAATTCTCAAAGAATTTCAAACATTTTAATCAATAATTTTTGACTATTTAAAATAATCTTTAAAATCTCTGCAAAAAGATAGTGTCCAATTAAATTTCAATGAAGAAATATTAATTCCAGTTTTTGCTCAGCTCACAAAATCCATTGTTTCCATTATTTTTTAAAATGTATAAAAATTTGAAATGTTAAATTATAAATGATAGTCATGAAGTTTGAATAAAAGCCATAATTTTTCTATATACAATATAGGTCATCTTCAACAACGCCGAGTGATATCATTTGATTATACACATTTGCCTTAATGCAAAAGTTTTGTGAAACGCAAGTTTAAAATGAATTAATCTTTTATCAAGAATAATTTTCCGGATATTATGATGGCGCTAATATTTTAACCCCCGTACGCAGTATCCGGAGTTACACAAGTTTATAATAACGCTAAACCGTTTAGTAAATATGTTAATCAGCACGATTCCGCAGTACTTTCGATATAAAAGTAATATATCTCTGTTTTTATGCCCGACAAAATCATATAAAAGCAAATTCGTAAATGGAGCGTTAAAAGCCGAGATCTTTCTATTTCTCAATAAATTTTCTTTGTCAAGTATCTCTATTTCTTACAGATTCAGGAAATTTGCAAGACACAAGAAATCTTAATATTTTTAAAGAAACATTGATGCAAAATTGATTAAAAAACTCGTAAATAAAAAAAAGACATGTTTAGAATATTGAAATATTATGTACAGAAAGATTATTAATATTAACCCTTGCAGGTCACATATTTTTTTTGCTCTGCTCTTGGTCAATATTGGTAGGCTTAAAATGACCCATATGTGACCTCTTTAAGCATTCATTTTTACAAGCTTGTCTTGATCGGATTAAAAATGCACCTTGGACAGTCTGCTCGAGTACAAGTTTATGACTCTTTAATGGCAGGTTTGCACGGTGGTCTCACGCGTCCAACGGCGTAAACACGAAGAGACGTGCCTTCCTCCATACTACAGGGGCGTGTGCACGCCGCCAGTAAGTCAGGACGAAAAAGGAAAAGAACGAAGCAAAAGTGTTACAAGCTAACAGCAACAAAGCCACGAGGGAATCTTTCGCGGCAAGAGAATTTTTTTCCAGCGAATGCAGATGAAGAGTGTCGGCGAATAAAAATATAACAAAAAGCATAGAAATCTTAATATTTTTAAAGAAACATTGATGCAAAATTGATTAAAAAACTCGTAAATAAAAAAAGACATGTTTAGAATATTGAAATATTATGTACAAAAAGATTATTAATATTAACCCTTGCAGGTCACATATTTTTTTTGCTCTGCTCTTGGTCAATATTGGTAGGCTTAAAATGACCCATATGTGACCTCTTTAAGCATTCATTTTTACAAGCTTGTCTTGATCGGATTAAAAATGCACCTTGGACAGTCTGCTTGAGTACAAGTTTATGACTCTTAAATGGCAGGTTTGCACGGTGGTCTCACGCGTCCAACGGCGTAAACACGAAGAGACGTGCCTTCCTCCATACTACAGGGGCGTGTGCACGCCGCCAGTAAGTCAGGACGAAAAAGGAAAAGAACGAAGCAAAAGTGTTACAAGCTAACAGCAACAAAGCCACGAGGGAATCTTTCGCGGCAAGAGAATTTTTTTCCAGCGAATGCAGATGAAGAGTGTCGGCGAATAAAAATATAACAAAAAGCATACCATCGCGAGTACGATATTTTCGCGTTCATTTTTTTTACGTTTTGATATTATAGTAATTTTTAATTGTTTATTTAATCTAACTTACGTAGATTATTTAATTTGATTTTCAAAATAATTTAAAATGTGTAAATATATACACGTGAAAAACGCATTGTTTAAACACAATGAAGTCTGTCATCATATCACTTTAGAATACGCGTAGAAGAAACAGAGTATTGTAAGATTTAATTATGAAGCGTGCGTTTGTGTACGTGTACAAGGAATATACAATATTTGCAAGACCGAGCGATGGTAAAAAACCTTTCATCGAGAAAGATATTTTTCTACTCGTAGCTCGAGATACTATGGGGAAGATTCACGAAAATGATAAAAAAAGATATAAACGAAAAAAAGAAAAAAAAATCAAAAAAAGATAGTGAAAAAAAAACAGCGAAAACTCGTTCGAACCATCGAAACCTATGCTCTCGGGGCAGTTCTCTAACCGTCAGTCTCCTTTTGTCTGTCGGATTTTTAAGAGTACCACTCACGGTTTATCTACTCCACCCCCTACCTTACATCCTACCTTCTGTTCCGCTGAGTCTTTGTACAAATATGTGCATGTGTAATATATATATATATATATATATATATACACACACAAACCATGTGTGTGTATGCGTGCACGCGTGTGCGCACATACACATACAATAAAATGTTTTCAGCGTGCGAAGAAGCATGACGCACGAGGCTTCGCCGTCCGTCTCAACACGATAAGATATCAATCTTCGCTTTATTAACCGAATTTCGTTTTAAAGTAAAAATTAATATTTACAATAGATTCACGGAATGCAAGCTTAACTATTACGAAATTAATTAAATCCCGAAATTCTACTTGTGCGATTGCAATTTTTGCTTTTTATAAAGATTACGATATACAATCAACTTGTGCATTTAGCTTTTATAAGAGAAAGTTTTCGGTCAACTCGGTATTATCTAACAGAAGTGCTTTTACTATTGAAGAAAACACTTCCTGACATGTTTTCGTTGATCGTTTAATTAACAAGTACTCTCGGAATGCATTACCATACAATCTCAGATGAAAAAAGTTTAAAATTCGCCAGGTTTACTTGTAGAGAGAGAAATGCTTCAAGCGTTAAATATTTTACTTAAATATATTGTGAAATATAACATTGTCATTCTTATTTCATTTTTTCCTCTCGATTGAAGATTAAAAAACATTGAAAATATTTTCCATATATCGCGTACAATACTAAAATTTGCATAGTTAATGCATTTCATTTGAGATTCAATTATTACTCACCTTGTTCCTTCTCCGGAATTTTTGCGGGTGCCTTTTTGTCTGGTGCCTTTGGTGAGCAGTTCTTTCGCGCCGGCCTTACAGTTAATGTCGGTGGAACCTGTCAGAAATAAATAGATATACAGCTGTAGTAACCTGTTTCCGTTGACGCATAACAAACTTGATCGTTTATTATGCGCTTGTTACATCATTCATTAATAAATAATGTATACTGACCACTTTCTCGGATCTTTCGCCGGACGGTAACCTAGCTATGGCCGCATCAGGACTATCCTCAGGCGGTGGAGGTTGCACAATCCAATTGTATTCTCGCTTTTCAACTGGAAGGCCCCATCTCTCGTACTCGAGGCTCTGTGTGCGCAAGGTCTCATAACAATCCAAGCAGACAACCGCGAAATCGCCGTTTTCCAGCAACAGACTTTTTTCCGGCTGCCTGTGATACCTTAGAAACGGAAAATCTTTCACTGGCAACGCCCGTACCCGTTTTCTGTACGTCGTAATGCCGCAGACGTAACAGCAATAATCATGGGTGTTATATTGGCGCTCGGCGGCATTCACTTGCTGACCACTGGAAAGAGATTCGTATCGACGCCACTGCGCCAGCAGTGAATGATAACAAAACGTGCAGACCAGAGCGGAGCCGTCCTCGCGTAGCTGTTCGGCATTCGGCGGTGACTGATGACGTAAGAGTTCTGGGAAGAATGGCGCATTTCGACCCTGAGGACGACCATACAGGACTCTAGCAAGAGTCAAGTCGCTGTGTAAACCACACAGGAAGCAATATATCGAGCTACTCGATGTGCCTGGATTGCTTCCAAATGTTCGATCCGAACTAGAACTCGGTGGTGTAGCGATTGACCGATTCACATCACCATTTGGATGTGGACTAGGAATATCGTACCTAGAATTTAACAACAGATATCACAAAGATAATAAATATGTTACATTAATTTTCTTAATATAATATCCAAAAATTTCTAAAAGTACAATAAAAATAATTTTTTTATTATTTAATACATGGGTTAATCGAAGAGAATCGTACAATTGTCATCTTCTACATGAATATTAAATCAGAGATCTATCACACACACACACACACACACACACACACATCATTTTACTCTACGCGCAAAAAACTTCTCACTTCACTATTAACTTGCATAATATATGCAAATCGGTTAAGAATAATGGCTAATGTAATTCGCGGTGAACTAACCTGCGGCGTTCTAAAGGAACCCGTTCAGCATCCATACTTTCCCATTGTTGTGCAAGATGATTCACACAGTGACTACATGCTAATACCCTGCCATGGCTATCCATGCAGGCGTTTTCAGACGTACGTGCCATTCCTCTCAAGCAAGGAAAATGCATAGCATGTGAATTCATTCCTTCTGGGCTTGTAGATAACCTGATAATAACAATAAAAGTTAGAATATTATATATCGCAATAAGAACATTTTTATTTGTTTTAGATTATTGTCTTTTTGGCGATAGATATAAGTATTTATATAAAATTCTTACCACTCCATATGAGTACGAGGATATAATCTCTCACAAATATAGCACCTATAATTTTGGCCAAGCGCGACGGTACCGTTTTCCGCGGGACCGTTACTGGGTGAATTTCGTTGCCCAGCCATGGGAGCTTTTACGGTGGTACTGCTTCGTTGCTTATTTGCAGCAACCGCCGATTTGTTCAAGTCGTATGGCTTAAAGCGAATATCGCTGCCAGCAGAATTAGCTGGAGATTTCGCAACAGCGGGCCGTGGTGAAGTACCTGCAATGAGAAATGTATAAACCCTTTAGACGATAAACGACGAAATAAACTCGTATAAATATTCTTTGAGATTAATGGAGATTAACCTTGTTGCCGAAAATAAAGTCATTTTACTCTACGCGCAAAAAACTTCTCACTTCACTATTAACTTGCATAATATATGCAAATCGGTTAAGAATAATGGCTAATGTAATTCGCGGTGAACTAACCTGCGGCGTTCTAAAGGAACCCGTTCAGCATCCATACTTTCCCATTGTTGTGCAAGATGATTCACACAGTGACTACATGCTAATACCCTGCCATGGCTATCCATGCAGGCGTTTTCAGACGTACGTGCCATTCCTCTCAAGCAAGGAAAATGCATAGCATGTGAATTCATTCCTTCTGGGCTTGTAGATAACCTGATAATAACAATAAAAGTTAGAATATTATATATCGCAATAAGAACATTTTTATTTGTTTTGGATTATTGTCTTTTTGGCGATAGATATAAGTATTTATATAAAATTCTTACCACTCCATATGAGTACGAGGATATAATCTCTCACAAATATAGCACCTATAATTTTGGCCAAGCGCGACGGTACCGTTTTCCGCGGGACCGTTACTGGGTGAATTTCGTTGCCCAGCCATGGGAGCTTTTACGGTGGTACTGCTTCGTTGCTTATTTGCAGCAACCGCCGATTTGTTCAAGTCGTATGGCTTAAAGCGAATATCGCTGCCAGCAGAATTAGCTGGAGATTTCGCAACAGCGGGCCGTGGTGAAGTACCTGCAATGAGAAATGTATAAACCCTTTAGACGATAAACGACGAAATAAACTCGTATAAATATTCTTTGAGATTAATGGAGATTAACCTTGTTGCCGAAAATCCACATTCTGCCCGGTTGGCTGTGCCTCGTGGTTTTCTCCGACATGCATTTGCTGCTTATGCGGAATAGCTCTATAACAAATGGAGCAAACCTGCACCATTCCCTGAGGACTAATAGGACTAGCTCCTAGAGGAGGTCTCAGAGAATAAATATAAGGAAAGTACGCCTCCTTCTCGGGATTAGGACAGCAATATAGTAGTCTAATACTGGATGAAGGGTACTCGAGAGCGCAAGTGTAGCAAATAAACGTGGTTGTATCCATTGTAGGTGCTTGCCGCTTGCGAAGCGTATAATTTCTATCACCATGCGGTACTCCCTGCCGCGTGTAAGCTTTCCATTGTAATAAAAGATGATTCTGGCACGCTGAGCAAGCCTAAGAAAAAAACCAATGTATAAATCGTTATGCAAAAATTTAAAAATAAATAATTGACAAATACGGCAACAAGAAAATATACCTGCACTCGACCGGCACTGTCCATAGGTCGACTTCTGCTCGGCCTGGGATGAAGCATCAGTGATGGAAAGAATGGCGGAGGACTGGAAGAAGGGTGCGGCGGGTTTGGCAGTGGCTTCGCAGCGATGTGACTGAGAGATCCTCTCTTGAATTCGTCCCCGCACACATAACAGACTTCAGTGACAGAGTTCTTATCCGGCATCGATAAATCTAGAATGTCTGTGCCGACGCTGGACGACGATCCGCCGCTATAGATAGCTGCAATTGCAATGTCAAACAATCGGTTATGTCGATCGTTCATTGTCGATGAACGCTCTATGGTACGTGTCGTGGCATAAAATCCGTGAACGCGCAATGCAACTGACCACCCTAGCTGTCCCGAGAATCTTACACATGTCTTCGACATTATCATCATTGCGCTGCACGTGGCCCATTTAGAGCCTGCATTTTTTGCGAGTTTATCGCCACGATATATCCACGAACACGAACAAGTTGAGTTAGTTTCAACGACGAATACAGTGTTTCAATAGCTTCATTCCAAACGACCTGCTTATCTGTCGGGGCATACGCTGACTAATGAATATCAGATCGGGCGGATCGAAATTGTTGAGGTCACCAAAGCTCAATACTCTGCGAGTGCGCGGAGCGCGGGAGGAAAATCGCCTGTAATCGCTATTTAGATCAAAAGTGCGCGTTAAATGAATCGGACTGATTCTTTGCCACGACTTCGACATACTTCTTATCTACACAAAACTGTTTTAACCTTTACTTTTAAATGTTTACATTAGTGCACGAAAGGACTAAGGCCAGCGTAAATAGCGACCCGATTCGTATATTTACCGCGTATACATTCTAAACCGAGATAACATATAATAACGGTGAAAAACAATTTTGTACTCCTATCAGATAGCGCTTGGTGATTTCATGTCCAAGTTATTTTGCCGAGTGTACACTTTGGACATGCTTTAAGTATTAGGCGCGTTAAAATGCTCCAATACAATTTTTGCTACATCTTTTTTATTCTCTATGCTATAATAGATGATATTTTATCTAAATATGTATGTATATATGTGTGTATGTATATACATTGCCAATGACAATATCGCATAGTGTTCAATAAATAGATATAAAATAGATATAGACATATACAAAATGTCAATATATAGTCGAATAAATCTATATACTATTTCCATAATCTGTATATATTTTTTACTTCATTTACATTTATTAACTAGAAATTATTTCGACACATTAGTTATACCATAATTTACTATATATCCCATGAATGAACAATACATTTTTTAATTTTTTGGAAATTAAAAATAAAGACAAATAGGTTGATTTCCCATATAAAGATCCAATTACATTTGCCGATTTAATCATTGGCAAATTTTTGATATATTTGTCTTTGTCTTTTTCTTCTCTCTCTGTCTGTCTGTCTCTCTCTCTCTCTCTCTCTCTCTCTCTCTCTCTCTCTCTCTGTGTGTATGTGTGTGCGCGCGCGCATACTTGTTCTTTGTACATATCTTTTTTTAAACTTTGATACTTATACTGATGCAACAATATTATTACCCAAAAAATAATTCATTAAAAAAATACTAGATAAGAATTTATTAAAAAAATATAAAAAAATACAAAAGGAAAGTAAACAATAGTGAATAAAACGGAATATATACAAAATTTGATATATGCGTTGCTTTTTTTGAGTTTCAAATATGAATTAGTGTGAAATGGATACAAAAATTAATTATCAACCTGAAGGTTGTGGTGGTAAGGTGGGTTGTGGTGCAGGTGAGCTTCTAGGTGCATGTCTCAGATCCAACGCCGCCTCGTTGGATATTCTAACATCCTCGACAGATTGTCGTGGGCTTTGCAACCTTTGGTGAGGTGACTGCAATCTGTGATGAGGAGATTCCATTGTGAGCCTCGTTTGTTCCAAGTGCCTGTGCGTTTCCGCTGTATTAGAATGCGGCCTCGGTAACTCGATTGAATTCGACGGTGGTCTCGTTTGCTCGACTCTCGGCGAAGGTGAATTTGGCGGTAATCGCGGTGAGATACCAACCGGTCGGTTCTCTTGTCTGAGCTGCGGCGCCTGATCGTTTGTCAAGCCCAAAACCTGGGCGGCGTATTCGCCCTGAAGTGCCATCTCCGCACCTGTGAACGAGCCGCCGTCGCATCTCTTTAACCAATAAATTCGCTGACTGTGCGGCCTAGCCTCTCGCTCGTAACTTTCCCATTGTTGCAACAACAGAATGTAACAGAGATTGCATGCTTTGACAGCACCGCTTCTGGCACCCTCGCCGCGATAGCCACTCGGCGGCTCGTGTGATTCAAGAAACGGAAAATAGGGCTCGTTGGGTGCACCGCCCGGGCTTGGTTTTACTCGTAACCAGTGCTGCTCGCTGTGGCCCACAGCACCACAGACAAAGCAGATTCTCGCTCCCCCACCGTCCTCGACGGGCGGATTGGGCTGCGGATTTGCGAGCGATTGCCCCTCAAGTCCCGGCTCATTCTTCACATATAATTTGCCCTCCATTATGTCAGGAAACCATTGGATCTCTTCTTAACGCCCTCTTATATCTTTGTATTTGGCACGCATGTACGATCAGAAATCACAGTGACCGATAGAGCTTCTATTTCTTATGTATATCTGAAAATATAGAATAAATTTGTAACTAAATTGTACAGTATATATCTGGTTCAGATATAGCACATGCATGCTCTCTCTTTCTCTTTCTCACTCACTCATGTCTATTTGTATTATTGTTTATTGATTAATATAATTAAGAAATATATAATGTACTTTTTTATATATTTGAAGTTCAACCACATACAATTGCATCGAGCATATATTTTTCAAGTTAGTGGCCACAAAAATATTGTTTGAAAGCGATTCTTTTAGGACACCTCATTGTATGCAAAATTATTTGGGTGCAGCTGCGACCTCATTTCATAGTAGATGTGCAGAAATCGCTCAATATATATGGGTAATAATAGCAAATTCGCATAGCATTATTGCTGTATTTAAAATTCATGAAATATTCATTCTTGATAACATTACAATTTCTGAAACCAACTATGCTTTTTAAATATAACTACTGTTTTGACTAACAAATTATGCAGAGTGTTGGATAAATTTTAATGCAACCAATGAAAAAGTGGCAATTCTCTGTGGAAAAAAGCAAGTAAAAATGTAAAAAATAAATCTTTTTAAGTCAATGTTGTAGAACTATATACGCAGTTGTATTTGTCAATCGTATCACGCGTCACTGGGCAATGTGCATATATGTATTACTTGATAATAAATTATAATTATTCTATATTACAATTGTGAAGACATCATTCTAAAAGTAAATTCTGCGATTGTCCAAACGTACAATGCCTGCGATACCCCAGTTGTCTAATTCATCGTCACACAGCATATAAACACAAAGTAGTAATGTGTGTGCGAAAGCTTAAACAGCTGGTAAACAGCCTAGTTTCACAATATGAAAACAATCAGCAGATGCATTTAAAAGAATCAGAGCATTGACATATCGAGCATTTATAAATTCGGGACAGTATCGCGACGCGATGCATTTAGACAATCGTAGGCATGCGGTATATTTTTGGAGCATCGCTACATCGAGCGATTTACCGAGACCGACCAGAGATTAACTTTTCGGTACATCGGTAAGCATGCAGCGTTAAGGGGCCAGCGTTTAAGGAGGAGTGTGTCATTCGCGCATTCTGGAATGACAGAATGGAAGGGAAGCGGGGAAAGGGAATGAGAATGCGGGCGAAACGCACGTAGGCGAGCATTTTCCGACAGCGATGACGGCGATGAATTTATCGCTGTTGAGGCCGCCCCAATGACAGCGGGACGATACGTTCGCCGCGAGAATCGACGAAATAATCGTATCGTCATCAACTGGCATTCGGACTCGGACTCGGACTCGGACACAATGGTGGTGCGCTTGCTCGCCGCAAACTGCTCGCCCAGCGAGTTACGCTACCGTCTTCGGCGATCGACGACGCAACGCGCCCGTTGGGAACGGCATCGGGATTATTATCTCGATTAGTTTGGCGTGCGCGGAACTCGTCGCTTCAAGATTTTTCGGAAGAACGAGAAGTAGGTACAAGGAAAAGACTCGCGACTCGCGACTCGCCGATCCCGACGGGCAATCTCTCGCTCTCGCTCTCGCTCTCGCACGCACTCTCGCCACTACCGAAATTACGCAGAGCCGATCGGCACACGCGCCACGAAGATGGACATTGTTTCCCCACAAGACACTCACGTTTTCACAGTTCGGCAGGGCTGGCCACAACATCGCGTCGATATTTGGTGCTGCTGTCCCGGCGGCTGCCGCGGCTCGCTAGGACAAAAGCGGGACTCTCTTATCGCGAGCCCTAGTCCCTGCCATACGTGCTCCAACAGCTCGAGCAGCGCACGGTGCCGCGGGGTGTCACCTTCGTCGTCACACTGCCGGCCATCCCGTTCATATTTACACGCACTACTGTCCGATATCGGCCCGAACGACACCACCCGAACACGTATGTTTCACTGTCGCGCCTGTGATTGCGAAGTAACGACGGAACCGTTACGGGCGACTAGGAAAAATACATTTTCCGATGGCACAGCACCCACGACTTCGCCCTCACTTCGCCGCCATGTTGCAAAATCGCCGATCCGCCGTCCCGTCATGCCACGCAGCTTCGTCATATTACAGCGCCACCGCAATGGCCAATGAGAGCGCGCGGCGCATGCGCATCGACGCTTGCCCGCAACCGAATTGCCGCCAACGACGATCCACCGCAGAGTTTGAACTCGACCATCGCCGAAGCTCTTCCCTCGTCAAATGTGCCATTATTTTCAGTAAAACTAAAGGTCAGTGTAATTTAAAATCGCGCCTAGATCGATACTAAATTTATTACAGTTACGCTGCTAACTATAATGTCGTCCTTTTGACCAAAAATAAACAAATTGTAATACCAGTTTTTCTATAATATAAAAATGTGAGTGAAATCTCTTAAATCTTTTGTTTTACTCTATGCTTATCTATACTAATGATTGTTATTGTTAAATATTGATGAATCGTCACAAATCGTTAAAAAAAATTTACGTAAGGATAATGAAGTCTCAGCCACATATAAAACTCGTATTTAAACCTTTGAAAAAAAAAGTAATACATGAACGGCAGTTTCGATTCGAATGTAATTGAATATATATAATCTGAATATTAAATGTATGTAACTATAAACAACTCTTTTTATTAATTAATATATATACTAATAGAAAAGAGAGATAGATAAATTATATTGAAATGGAACAAAAATATTATTCACGACTTTTTACAATTTAACGTTTTTCGTTATTATTACTTGTCTATCTTTCTCTCCGATTGATTATTAATAATGCAAATCACAAAGAATTTTTTATTTAATATTGCAAGAAGATTGATTGCTACATTGAATTATGATATTATTTCTTAACATAAATATATCTATATATTGTTATTGTTTATATTTATATTGTTTATATTGTTTTTATATGTTGTGCATGTATATTTGAATGATTAAGCACTTTCAAATGGCTATGTGTATTTATTTTCCTGATAAAATTTCTCAATTTATAAATTTTATGATTGTGATAATAATAATAATAATAATACATTACTTTTTTTTTCAGAAACTGCAATGTATCAACCAGGTCCGTGGTGTCAACAGCAACATGGAACTGCCAGAAAGATTCCGGTTCTTACTTTTGCGCAACACAAGTAAGTGAAAAAAAATATTCAATTTCAAGATCTCAACAATATTTATACCGGCAATTACTTTAAAAGTAGACAAAAATATATTGTTTAAGAAAATAAAATTAGGATAGGATTGGGCTCAAATAAGAAAGAATTCGACTTTCGATGTTTCACAGTATTTAATCAACAAGTTGGAACATCGTATTGAATGCTAAAATTTACGTCTCATAAGTTGTGATATTTTCATATGTACGCGCGCACATTTCCACTTTTTCCACTGGGTGGAATTCTGATATAATACTAAAAAATAATTGGAAATACTTTAAAAATACTCTTTGCAAATGATAACTTTTAGAAATACTCTCTCTTTCTCTTTCGCTCTCTCTCTTTCTCTCTCGAATCACTTTTGTCTCTATCATATAGATCTATTAGCTACAATATTTAAAATTTTTTTCCTTATATATTTTATACAGAGATTTAAAATCACAAGAAAATTATTATTCATAATGCATAATAATGTTATTGTTGTTGTCATTATTAGTAATCTTACATTTATCAACACACAGTAGTGGTATTAAAAGTTATTTTGTTTTTCATATTCGCAATTGCGGACCACTATTTTTCAAAGAATATAATTATAATTATGCTCGTTTTCACAACGATTACGCAACAATAGGCTCACAATTTTACAACAGATATATTTTATCTTGTCTGTGTGACAACAGTAGCCTATTACAAGATTGCATTGAATTGCATTAAATACACGGTTTAGGCTTCGATTTTATGCACGTGTTAATATCTAAAAAAAATATAAAATAAAATAATTCACTCCAAGCAATACACTGATCTTGCAAATACAGTGTAGCCTCGCTATCATATTAATGCACTATATCTAGAGATGTTACAAAGTGTTTTATAATAAGAAATACTAAACGACGACTACACTGTGATTCAAGAAGAGTTTCTCTCTTGAAAAGCATTAAACATAGCAGCATATAAATACACTCTATTATTTCTTCTTATAAATAATTATAACTAATTGTAGGTTTATTTTGCATTGATGAATGACTATAATGATCTCTTCTCATTATTTTCTCATTTTTTATATTATCTTTTCTCTCTCTCTCTCTCTCATTCTTTCGTTCATTCTATATTTTTATCACACATACAAAGTTTATAGAATGCTATTGGTAAATGTTATAAATAATATTTTAGAGGCTGATCATATTGCTAACGTCAAATTTTCAGTTAGCGAGAATAAAAAAAGTCAATATCTCTAATTTTAGCTGGTTTTACACAATTTAAACGAAGAGACAAGCTATTTTTGTGCAGGAATAGCTTGTCTTTGTATTTTCTTAGATATAAAATGCTGTTGACTTTTTACTGCGCGATTTATCTTTTAACAAAGCACAGACAATTAAGTCGTTTTACTTTTATTATGAGTTACTGACATACGCACATAGTATGTTAAATCAGATTTGACATTTAGTGAACTCATGACTTTTACTCACTTGACCCTAATGCTGTGGGTTATCTCGTCTCTTATGTACATATATAAACAGATATTATGGTAATAAAGTTTCCTCTTTGCATAAAATGCTTCAATTAAAAAAAGTAGGATACTATTCGCAGGAAATTCGCTTTAAAATAATAATTCTGCAATGATTAAATTTAGTTTCTACTTGTTCCACTATGATAAAAATAGATCCACAATACATATCTAAATATGATGTCCGTATCGTGTTGCCTTTATCATTACAATCTACATTAAAGTGATAAACATTCCAAGTCCGTTATAAGTTGCACGCCTAAATATCGTAATTAATATACATATATATATTCACATGATTCCAATTTTACTTTATCAAAACATTAGAAGTGATTTTATTGTAGCAGTTGTTTTGTGTAAACGATATCGCATATGCATAATGAATAACGAATGTTGTAGTAAAAAATATACTGGGTCATTGATTCCGATAAAAGTTTTGACCCAAGCAACCTGCGAGTATTATCTAGACCAGAGGTAAACGTACGACCAAATAAAACTATATCTATCTAAGAGGAACAAAGCATCGATCATGAAATAACAAGAGGAAAGTATTGGTCCGATCATCAGTTAAAAATAAAAATTCACAAAGTGCTTTTGGATCTTGTATAATATAGATCACATATTTCTTGATACTCGTTGGCAGCATTGTCTTGTAGATCCATGCTGCTAATAGCACTTTTCGGTCGCTCGAATAAAGAGATTATTTTCAACATCATCACAAATATCTGGACAATGATGTAATCCCATGATTCTTTCATTGGATCTATCTACAATATCCTTGTATCCCTTGTATCTTTCCAACAATGTCATCTTCAATCACAGTACCATTATTTCTCAAGTGCAGTATTTTCAGACTCTTCGTTCTGTATTTGTTAGTCATCAACAAGAAAGAGATCAGTTTAAAAACCTATTACTACATATTTCTTTGGCTAGAGAACCAAAAAAGAGAATTTTCCTTAGTAATTTTTACCGAAAGAACAATCTAAAATTAAGAAACATGTGTGAAAGAAATTCTCGTAATAATTTGAAATTACGGAATAATGACATCGATAATGCAACATTAAGTGCATTTAATTATTTTGTTGATAATGATAAAATCTGCAAAAAGATAAATAAAAACAAAATAATTACAGTGATCTTATGAGTGCGCATGGTATATCGGTGCTTTTTTCTATAAATTAAATGGATAAATGAAAAATTTAAGTAGGAGAGAAACACTGACGAATAATGTCAAACGTATAACGATAAAATTGCATATATCTGAAGCAGTCGCGCAAAATAAAGATTTCGATAATCGAATTCGCGAAATCGACGAAACACCAACGTCGAAAATCACTCGATGGATAAATAGAAGAGCGCTTCACTCTCTCGCATATATCTTAATTAATACGCCCTTCCTGCGCGGCAAGTAACAATCCTGAAGAATTTTTCAAACGAGCTGAATCGACGTTTGACTCGACACTCTCAAATGTTACTGTTCATCGACGCTTCGCTGTCCAAGATTCGTTCTTTTATCTCCTCCGGCTTGTCGAATACAGGCTCGATTGTCTCCGACAACAGCTTCGAATTGTGTTTATCGATGTGCGTCAGCTCGATCGGGAGGTATATCGTTCGGCAATAGTCAATATCGGCCCGGCATAATGGGCAACGCTCGCAGCGACGGGCGCAATCCAAACAAGCCACAGCGTGTCCGCAGGGAAACAAGGCGGTGTCTAGGCTTCGATCCATGCAGATCCGGCACAGCATAGCGTCCAGTAATCTTGCTAAACATTCCCGAGATTCCTGAAATTTCGCCGAACGTTATATACAAATTGTCTCTGGATTATATGTCCCATTAAACCGTTCAGAATAACGATAATACCGCGATTATCAGGCGAGATGGCTGAATTTATCGCTCACCTTGCACTTGGGATTTTCGCATTCGCCACAGGCGTGGTTTTCGAGAATCTCATTCTCCTCCGGCAAAGCTATGGTCGCGGCCTCGCAATAAAGCGCACGCCGTGCATTGTCATAAACCTCCCGACAAGTCCTGCGTATATCGAACACGTACTTCTTACCCAGAGTCGAATCTTCATTGAAAATGGAAATTATTGTCCCCTGAAAAAAGCAATGACAATTATATCGTAGCTTGACTCGCAGTCATAAGATTATTGTAATTATTTTTTTGCGTAGAACTTTATACAAAAAGTTTTTAGATATGTATATGGATATTGTATTCTCTCTTAAAATTCTATGATACCAATGAAAGAATATATAGTATTATATTTCAAAATAAAAAATCAGAATAAAAAGGTATCACACATATTCAAGAATATTTTTTATATATACATATCGAGATATACAAAGAGACATAATATTTTCATTGGTATTTTTGCGAAATCACAAAAATTTTACTTTTACACATATAATATGTATATAGTCTGCATCAGTGTAAACAAAATTTGCACCAGATACCTTTAAATCACGGATAAATTGCGCGGTGACTGCACTTCTAACTGTTTCGCAGCTGTAAAATGCATGTTTCTCGGTGATCGCTCTATAAAGTCCACTGGCGGACTGGCTTGAGTCTAATTTAAAGTCCAACGACGTCTCTTCACCATCAAGCGAGAGGTAAACCAAATGAAACATTCGCCGTTGTGATGTAGCACTTTGTATAGCTGTATATGGTATGCTGTAATGTAATACATAATACATCACAATAGATTGAACCATGCGGTAAAGTAAAATTTTAATACTAATCTCCTTCTATATAATGGATGAGGCAAAAACTTGGTAAAATTTATGATATTATCATATGTAAATATTTTCTATGAATTATTTTTACACCTATATACATAGAAATGTTACAACTTTATTATTTTATATTAAACGCTAATTATGATAATGAAGAGTTTAATAAAACTGTGTCTGTGTGTGTGTCTGTGTGTGTGTCTGTGTGTATCTGTATGTGAACAATCGTCTTGACGGATGGTATAGCGTACAACTGCTAATACGTACCGTCTCCTACCGCCGACAAGCGACATTAAAATTGTCCTGCGATTTCGCGTTAATAAACACAAAGTTTAGCAATACAATATTGGTTGAATTGATTAATCAATGCATAAAGGAGTAACGGCGCAGCTCAATTTGATGTTTTTTACGATAAAAGAACATAGCTTAACAAAATATGCATGATCCGATAAACTATTAAAACTTACAATTAGTTACATTGCATTTCTTTTTTAAATATTTAAAAAAGAAACACAAACAGAAAAAATATAATTTTCTTTTGTTATAAATACAAAAATTTTCTTTTTTCTAAATTTCAAATATAGGTATATGAATGTATAATTTTTACTTTTGCGTTTCTTCGCCCTGATTGCGATAGACCGTAATGCCGTGTGGACCAACGCCGATCATAGAAACTCCGTTGTATCCAAATTTACTATGAAACATTTCCTGCCCGAACATGTCGAGATTTGATATTTCTTTCAAGAGCCAATATTCAGCAGTCGAAGCTTTCATTCCCTAAAAATTCATATTATATATCTCTATCATATATTAGGTCTGATATATTTCATGCAACAATATTTAGTCATCAAATCGAAAAAAAAAAAATCACTCAAAATTTAATCTAGAAAATACATCATATCTGCATAAACACAATCACTCTCGAAAAAATATCGTGTTTTTTTTTATTAAAAGCAATCGTACATATTAAAACCAAATGAAAAAATCCAATTCAATCTCGCAGTGTTCTCTAAAAAAATAGGAGGATAAAAAACTTTATTAATTAACGAGAGAACGAGAAGGAATAATGTGTATTATATATACATATTTATCGAAATAAAATAATACATATATATAATAGCATCTATGTGACTAATTAAATTATAATTAATACTTGTCAAGACGCTCGCACCTTGATTTCTCTGTGTTGCTGAACTATCCGAAGTAAAAAATCTTGAGGTTTTGGCTCACACGGTTCCGCGGGTTGTATATGACAGCATTGAGAGTAAAGTGCATGCGGCGGTGATAGCGCATCATAATCACCACTATCGGCTTGCGCAATCAGCGCTACTAGACGGGCCACGGAACTCCAATCTGATACCTTTAATTTACCATCGACCAGCTCGAGGCGGGAATGCAAGTAGAACTGATGCCTGCAATTAGAAAGAGAGAGAGAGAGAGATGAGTGGTCGGATGTATTCACAGGGAGTTATTAATTGCAATTAGTTCAATTTCACGGTAGAGATAGGTGAATGCAAGGTGGGCCAGCCGTGCTAATATACGATACTCAGACTAAAGTAAGATTGATTACCTTCCCGTTCTCAGAGCACATTGTTTTAAGGTTTCTCTGTTCTCAACTAAGTTAAACAATACAGCAATGCAATAATACAGAAATGATTAACGATCGCGTTTGTAGCGGTGAAAAATACGTTCATGATTTAATTGTACGCAACGTTTATAGATACTGTACTAATTGTGAAAGATTGTCTCATTCACCTGTTTGTGACGTCTTATAAATCACTGCTTCAAAATAACATTTAGTCAAAATTGACATGTAAATATCTATATTTACGTTTTACATTTTTAACAAATCTTAAATGTAGATTAAAAAGAAGCTTTGACATTTTTATTTTCGCTAAATTTCTGAAAAAATTAAATGATTTATGCAGTACCATGATTCGATTCCACGACTTTCCGTTTACATACATATAATATGAAAAATACTGAATGTGTGCGACTAGAAAAGGGCAACTCTTCAAAAGAAGTTTTCTCCAAGAGCTGCTTTTGCATACTCCTTCAAATGTACAATACATTTTGCAATAAATATGTTGCTATCAGAGGAGTGGAATTATGCGCCGAGAACAGATTCGGATAGCTTGCTCGCAAAGTACTAGAATACGATAAAGAACTGCATTGGAATATATCGCGCTCTGTATCATTTTTCACGGTTTTGCAAGCCGTTCTATTCTCCTTTAATTCTCTCTCGACGATATTCCGTCGTGAAGATAAATAATCATCAGCAGCATCGAGAAAATCACATGTTTGCATACCATTAATGACAAATATTTTGGCACACTGAACACAAACAATTTATTGTCTATACTTTTATCCATAAGAATAATAATATTGATCGTCGTTTCAACTATACGTGACACTCATAGAGCGTGAATTATCATCGACTATTAGCTCCATATCGAATGGTAAAAAACGAGAAACATGTTATATTCTCGAGTTATTTTAAGTAGTTGACTCGCATCATCCTTGACGAAGAATTCCAATTTTAATCGAGAGTAAATTGGGTCGAAGCGACCGATAATCTATATTGGTCGAGTCGACGATAGTCTATATCAACAAACTTGAAGGAAATATCGATGATTGAAGATTTTCAACGAGTTTCCCAAACATCATCTATATCGACGAAACAAATTTTTTGGTTTGTCTAACGAGACTAATATTTCGTTTTGAAAATTTTCGAATCTTGATATTTTTTTCTTAAGGAAATTATCAGAAAAATGTTCAAGAAAGATATGAAAGAGAGAAATCGTGTTAACATCAAACAGTTATTATTTAAGAAATTAAAATACGGTCGTAATTTTGTGTAATCTGCGTCTGAACCGCCAGAATCTTTTCAACTTTATAATTGTCAAATCTTGAAACATTTTGTTCGAGAATCACCATCCCGGAATTCTAAGTACATTGATTTTTTTCCACCATAAAACTTCCATCGCTCCGTGCGCGAATAAAAAAAAAAAAAAAACAATATGCGAACAATCTCGCCATTCTCGCGGAGGAAACCAATATCGCCCGCGAATTTCGGTGAAATCCGCATGGCAAGAACCAAGAACTCAATGACATTTGTCACTGTGAGAGAGATATCGAGAGATTATGCCTAAACTTCTGAAAGAGGAGAAAAGTTGGGAGAACACAAACTTATTTAACAATACAAGACTTATTGATAACCGCGCGTGAAAATCATCGCCAAAAGATCGAACTCTTATACGGTCGAAGATTTGCGCGGAGACAAAGAACGATGTTTCCAGTAATTTTCAAATTGAGATTATACAATTTGGCCGGCCTGATGAACTTCTTGTAATATTCGAATCAAAATTACTTTCTCAAATTACGGATTATTACGAACCTAAATAATTTTATCAGACAATTGCAAGATGATATCTTATTCTCGTGATAATGAAATAATCAGAATAATTAATCTAACTAAGTTTATTTAATCCGCATTTAATTTACAGAGAGAGTTAATGAATAATTAAGCAAAGTTTGTACTTTATAGAGAGAGAGAGAGAGAGAGAGAGAGAGAGAGAGAGAGAGAGAGAGAGAGAGAGAGTGTTTATATATATATAAAACGGAATGACATGAAATACTGAAAATGCTTCGCAAAATGCTTGCGTTTGCTCTCCCCGACCTTTCATCGATTCGTTCTTATTTGCGCCTCATGTCGAGCCGACAGACAGAAAGAGAGAGAGAGAGAGAGAGAGAGAGAGAGAGCGATATTGTATCTATTAATCTAAAATGACATTGACTTTTTAATAATGCTCACTCATCGTCAGTGTTACATATTATTCTGATCTCCTATTCTGATTATTAACTTGTTTAATAATTAATTTTATCGTCACATAGTATTTTATATTTTTTCATCTTTCGAAAATTTATTTATTCTAATGAATTAAAACTAAAGCAAATGTGAAAAAAAGCTCATCGAATTATAAACAACGTTTCAAATATCGGATTTTCATGTAACAAAAAAATCCGCCTAAATAAGACATGAATGCTTTTAGAAAGCACTCAAAATATCTGAAATGTAAAATCTTTCGGTAGAATAAGATTTTTTCATCAAGTATCATTAAAGATAGGATGTTTTTCGAAGAATTCAGTATGCGCACGATATATTTTCCAATTCTGTGTTAATGCAATATTTATTATACCACATGCCAAACAAATATTGTACTATGTTTGACAAATATACACGCGTTGCATGAAAAGTTGGGATTGGATTAGTACGAATAAAGTAACTTCGGTAATATTAATAATATCGTTACGTATATAACACGGAACGTCTGGCTAGTGGCATATATTTTATTCATGATATACAGCACTTTCCTATATATATAATTCGGAAATGGAAACAAGGTCGGACCGAGTTCTAAATACGGCATTCCACTCGATTGATTGTGCAAGAAATATTTATATAAATCAATCATATCGAACTAACGCGCATAGTAACTTGTACATCATAAAAAATTGTGAACACACTTGTCATACAAATCCCAAGAAAAAAGTTACAATGTTATTTGAATCAAACATGTGAAGATAATTTTTATTTTGTGTAATTAACGTGTTGTATAAATCTACATAATTAATCTCGTTCAATAAAATGTGCTCTATTAAGGAATAAAATACGAGAATAAATAAATAAAAATCGGTATCATATTACAATTAATACGATATGATTGAATATGTGAGTTCTATATCATAAAATCTAAAAAAATTGTTCACATAATCGTGCATTGCGGACTGTTGACATCGCAAGAAACTACTCAAAGAGTGTGAAAATTTGAACCAACGTTAGCGCTTATAGCGGAATTAGAATCATAGAAAGTACCCGTCCGACTTCCAGCTCTGCATTCACAATATTTTCGAGTAAATAATTCAGAGGTTATTTCCAACGACCCCGGGTAATTCTAAAGTGGCTCAGACTACTGAATCCGTCCCGGCTTCGTCCTCGTGAACGGGGACAGTCGTGAATTAGCTGCCGGCGGCAGATTTCTTAGGGGAACGAACCGCGATGCAATTCGCAGTAAATTAGCATGCGGATTAGCATTTGCATATAATGCTAGTGCTGCATGTGGCGTGTCACCTACGACATTAGCTAGCCACATTGTAAATGAGTCAACACTAGATCCGACAAGCCGTGAATTTCAAAAGGGTATACGCAGCCTGCAGCTGCCCAGATTTCCACCAGAGAATAACGCGGCAAAGAGAATCGGCTTTGGGAGCGACCATAGAGACGGCTTTAAAGTGACCGCAAGGCGATCCTTGCAAAATAGTTTAAATTAGGATTAATAATTTTGAGGGGCAGAAGAACAAGAAAGAAGGACATTATAGGATACATACGCGCGCTTTTAACCGTCGCATCCGTAATAAATGCACGAATTACGAAGTACCTGTCGGAAGAATTCTCAAGTACAAGGGCTGTCCATAAAGAAACCGAACTTTCAAAAAAATGCCCCCATGCGTTGACATGAGGCCATCTATCTTGTGGCACTGTGTAGTAGGATTCTTTAGCAACTTTCTCACATCACGAACATGAGACTATCGTTCTTAATTTACATTTTATAGTGGTTGAATGAGGTTGTGTTCGGCGTTCGTGGCGATTTTCTAGACGTGGCGATTCTTTTTTTTTTTTATGCGTTACTTTGTGATGCATTTTTCAACATATTTTTCCTATTATAATCTAATATTTATGCAAAGGAAAGGGGAGAGGTGATAGCCTTTCAGCATGCTTAAAAATTTTTTAAAACCACCAAAGCAATCTTACTTATAGATGTAAAAAGTATATTTCTCACTGCTTTCTTCCGCTTTTGGTTTTCAAACTACAACTTATTTTTTTTTTCTTCTTCTAAATAAATCGTAAATTTTAGAGCAGAAATGCAGAAACGTTTGGCAGCCCGTTTAGCACGATGAAAAAGGAAAAAACATTTTTTTCACTTTCTGTTTTCCTCAACTTTTGTGTTTTCAAATCGCTTCTTTTTACGCAAGTACCGTAAAAACAGCTTAAAAGTAAAATTCGCGGCAATGTTCGAGAATGTCTTCACGTGTTCATTAATGACTCGGTGGTTAAAAGCCTTGCGGCTGTTCCAATTATGCACACGCACACAATCATGTCTCCTTGTATATATTTATTTAGTCCGCTTTAGTGCTCGCTGCACAATGCTTTAGTTGTACCGTATGGTCTTGCTAGCGATTTTCAGGCACGCCTGCCTCAACGACCACGTACGATTTTGTATTTAATCGGACAGTGCATAATTAATTATTCGCCAAGTCGTAATTAACGAGCAAGCCCTCGAAGCGATTCGCGATTGCTTTTGGTTTTGCGGCTGCAACTCTCTTTTCTGCCTCAACGACAATTTGGTTTCGA